AATGATAAATCCAAACATAAACCCACCAAATTAAAAGATCATTCTCCGTATAAAGTAGATTAAATGGAGATCCTAGGGAGAAAAAGGAAATTGGAGAGACCCCATTATAAATGCAAACCTCTTTAACCTTTTTAAGTCAATAAAATACCGAAAAATTCGCCCATCTACCAAGATTTGACTATGCATGCAGCTCAGCTAGAAAATTTGTCGAACGCAAAAGACACTATTAAAAAAGGGGTACTTTTCGTATCCAAACTTTTTCAACAACCATAGCAAAATAATTTAAGGTTCTTAACAGAAGGAAGATGAAGCAGAGAAGGATCTTTCAGTACAATCACCAGCACATCAAGACAAGAACTAGAAAAAGATAACCCATGGGAGATTACCATATAATGCAAAAGAGGAGACAGATAAAGTCCAAAAATAAATGGCAGAACAAGTATAAAAACCTGAAATTAGTTTAAATGAAACCCCAGAAAGAGAAAGGAAAGAATGCTAAAAACCCTTTACATGCATGCACAAAATCTACCATAAATAAACTAAGAAAACAAGAGGAAGAACAAAGCCAAAGACCTACTTAATCTCTACACAGATGATAGATACATAAACTGCATGTATCAAAAAGATTGGTAAAAAGAAAAAAAGACGAGCACTTTTGTTTCTGTACTAACTCTTAAACAGAGGGAGGAAAGCTAAAGCTAAAGCTTTCACCTTTCTCCTCAAATTAACAAACTTTGTTGTTGCAATTGCAAGTTCTTCTCTGTCTGAAAATGGGAAGTTGAAGAGAGAGCTGAGAGAAGGGGGCAAGTTTCTGTTTTAATTGCGCTTTCCGTGAGGGTGTCCGTGAAGTCGCTGTCAGTTGCTTCAAGCCACAGAATTTGCGTCAATACAAACTTTTCACCCTCCTTTTTGCAGAATCTACCTTCAAAAAGTTCCTTCATATATTTTTTATGATTCCTCTTTTATTTTATTAAAAGGGGCATTTCAGAAGTCAGCAGAACTCATAAACAAATAAAAATGGAAACCCTAACAGATGTTTTTATTTGTTCATCAGGTGATTATTTTCTCACACAAAAAAAAATTCTTATGACAACACAAATTTACAATAATTTTTTTAAACAGTTAATTCTGTTAATTAATTAAAAATAGTGTCTTATTTTTACATTTAAATTGTAGGTTAAATTGTAAAATAAATTATTAGATGAATGAGGAGTATTTAATATTAATATTATTTTTATTTAATAATTAAAATTATAAAGTTTGAAGTTTGAACTGTTTTAAATTACTTTTTAATTAAAAGTAAACTTGTATTGTCATAATATTTTTGAGTATACAGCAATAATCATACCCGAACATATTAATGTTCTTTTTTTTTTTTCGGAAATCCGTTGTTTTAGGTTGATATGATGGGTGCATTCCACGTGCGTGACGCAATGGCCACTTTACTCTTTTTTGGTGTAGGTCCTGATTTATATCTTATGTCTTGAGTTTAATATCTTTCCTACACATTAACACCTCTAACACATTAATACTTTTAACCATGCCTTTCTCAAAAAAAAAAAAAAAATTTGATATGATGGGTGAATTTTAATAAGAAACATGCATTAAAAAATAAAAATAAAATAAAAGTTGCAGAGTGTGTTTATGGAGCCTTTTAATATGATTTTATTTTATTTTTTTCAAAAATGAAATTGTAT